TTTTAACAGCATTTAGAACTTTAAAAAGAATGGATGATACCAGAACCATTAATTCGAGGCTTCATTTTGGTCAACCATCCTTAATTAAAGATTCACAGCGAAGCTGGCTAAAGCGATTTGTCGCAGTGAATTCGAGTCGTGATGAAGCAAATAAAGGCCTGACCAAGTACTAATTATTTAATACCAAATGTGTAGCATATCGTACATTAATAAATAAATTAATAAATTTTTTTAATAAACTTTAAAATTTTAAGTTTTACATTGAGCCAAAAAGCGTTCAGAGACTTTTGGCAGGGGTCTGTAGAAAAAGAATTAGAAATAGTAAAACAATTTAATTTTGAATCAATTATTATTATCGATCATGTAGATATTTCTAGATTTGAAAAATATAATGAAACTGATGATGATGATGATGATTATGATATACAGTCAAACCTTAATGTACTGATATAGTTGTTTTAAGGAAAAAGTATCAGTACATCAAATTATCAATACATTATAAATTTATATATATCACATGTAATTTAAATTGTAGATTGCATTTATTATAAAATTAGCGGTACATTATTACAAAATTAGTATATTTAGTATTATATATTAAGAAACAAAATTATTAGCATACATATTATACAACTTGAATAAATTGATCTAGAGTAGTTTGTTTTAGGTTATTGATGTGCGATCTCAAAACTCAATGTCTTAATTTTTATAATAAACTTGATTCATTTGGATCAATAAAAATTTCATCTAACGAGTATTCAAAAAATAAAACAAGATTATCTAAATGATTTAGAACTTCTGTTTTTGAAATTATTTTTGGAGGCTCTTCGTCTAGGTCAGTTTTTGGTTCATTATTATTTAATTTGATAATAGAAACAATTTCTTCATCAGTTAACCCCCCATTATCTTTTAAACAGTCATCAATATGAAGGAATTCTTCTACATTTAAAGGATCATTAAATGGAAGTTGATCAATTAGATCTTATAATTCTATTTCATCATAAACTTCTTGATCAACTTAACTTTCATTTTCTTAGTCTTCATCAATTTCATCTTGTGGAAGAATTCCTGTATGTTGCCAATAATTAACAATTGTTTGTTGATCTACAGAATTCCAAGTTTCTTTGCTAAAATTAATAGCATCACAAATGTTTAAAGGAGTAACTTCTTTGTTTAATTCTTGGAAAATTTCGTATACTTCAATTTTATTTCTAATAATTAATTTCTGATACTGTGCCTAAATTATTAAAAGAAATTCATAATTTTTCTACATATAAATTGATAATAAAATACATTAATACTAACCTTAAAAGAATTAATAATTCCTGCATCACAAGGCTGTAAATGTGCTGTAGTATTCGGTGGTAAAAAATGTACAGCCACATTTGTTAAACTTACATTTTTATCTATAATATGCACAGGAGCATTACCAACAAGTAAAAGGATTTTGCGATTTTGTAATCGCATTCGTGCATCCAATTTTATTAGATAATCATTCTATACAGATACTTGCATCCAGGAGGTTTTATTTCAATAATAATTTACCGGTAAATCTTCTTTTTTTTTTATATAATGCCTGGAGATTTTGATAAGCATCGATAAAAAGTGGTCTCATTTTTTCAGTTCTAGCTGCATTACATGTAAGAAGAAGTGTAACTCATTTTTTAGATTTTTTCTTTCCAGAAAGAGGACCTTGTGCTAACGTTTTTGAAGGTTCAAGATCCCAATACAGCCCTAAAATAAACAAAAAAATATTAATAAATTATTTAAAATTTTTTAAAAAATATTTAGCTTACCCGTTTCATCACAATTAAATACATTATTTAAATTGTAATTTCTAATAATTTCACGTAATTTATTCCTCTCTTCATCTAATGTTTCTAGCGGTGCACTGTTTGTCTCATCCCACTTAACGTATTCCTTTAAATTATGGCATTTTTTAAATTTATCCACCCATCCATTAGAAGCTGAAAACCTGGTAATTTTAAATTGCTGTGCAAAAAATTTAGCTTTTTCATGTAAAATATCACCATTAATGATAAGATTTGCAGAAAGTACATTTGTTATCTACAATGAAAGAGCCTCTTCAACTTGAGGAAAATGAACATTCCTTTCTCTTTGTTTATTTGCCTCTTCTAAATTTGGATTAATAAGAAGCCACTTATCTTTATTTCTTAAAATATCAGAAATGGTATTTTGTTTGATATTATATAAGGTAGCAAGTTCTGTTTGAGTAAGTCGTGGCATTTTTTGAAAATCTAAACAGAGTTGGTGCTTCTGCATGTGTGTTAAAACAACCCTTTTGTTTGGTTAGGAGGATTCTTTAATGGACTTTCTTTTTCCTTGTTGAGACATGATACATGTTTTGTGTAAGACGTGAAATATCTTTGCTTTTTTATTAAATACATATTTTTAAAGAACGAAAGTTATAAAACATTTGACATATGTAAAAATTTGGGCATTTGCAACAAGACGCATTGTATGAAAAAGCCAATGTTACATGTGGTATAACCTAAATATCAGTACATTTTATAATACATCACTTATACAGGGACAAAGAATGAATATCAGTACATGTTACATCGTGAAACTATATATGATATCGTTACAACAAGGTTTTTTTATTAATTGTGAAATGGGACAATGAAAATTTATTGGTATAAGGAATTATCAGTACATAGGGTATCAGTACATTGAGGTTTGACTGTAGAAGAATTAATTAAAGATTTTATATAATTAATAAGGTTAATATATATTTTTGATATTATTTATTATTATAAAAGATAGTTTATTAAATTTTTAATTTAATTTATTTTAATTATTTTAATAATATACTGAATTAAGTATATACACATACTATAAATATAATATATATGTTTATTAAAAATAAACAATATAAACATTATTTTTTTTGTTTAAATAAAATAAAGATTATATATAGTTGGACTTAAAAGATATAAAAAATAATCTATTTATTAAAATATTACATAACTTGTAAGATAAATATATAAAAATTTAATAAAGTTCTTCAGAAGTTCTGGTATCTAACCTATAAAAAAAAGGAATGAAATATTAATATTATTCTTATAACAAAAAAAATATTCCCTTTATCAAATATCAAACTAATAATTTTTCTAATTAGAAACTTACCTTTAATCTAAGATTTTAAGGTTTATAAATTTCAGATCGATCTATGAAAGTAAATAAATATTAGTTTTTTTTAAAAAATTAAAGAAAAAAAAATACTAACAAAAATTTTGTTAAAGCTTACCTCTGACTTAAAAATTTAGATCAGTCTATAAAGATAAGTTTAATATTAGTTTAATTTTTATAATTAACAAAAATTATAATTAAATCTCCATTAGAACTTAATTTCTGATCTGATTTCAATCCAAGATTTCAAGGATCCAGATCATTCTACAAAGGTAAATTTAGTATTATTTTTTTAAGATTATAAAAAAAAGAAATTAACAAATTTTTCCAATTAGAGACTTACCTTCTATCTAAAATTTTAAGGCAGATTTCAGATTGGTCTACGAAGGTAAGTAAATATAAATTTTTTTAAAAATTAAAAAAAAAAATACTAACAAAAATTCTATTAGAGCTTACTTCTAACTCAATGCTACAAGATTCAGATTAGTTTATAAAGGTAAGTAGCATATTATTAATATTAATGTTAACTTATTTAAATAATAAAAAAAATATTAATAAATTATTCTTTAAAACTTATTACTGATTCTACTTTAAGATTTCAAGATAAATTCATATTTTTTTTTTTAAAAAAAAATGAGTATTGTATTAATCTTAATAATCACAGATTTATAAATGTGTGACAGAGTACAAATGTTAATAATGTTAAACATATTAAACATGTTTAACATGTTTAATATAGTTAATATATCTAATTTATCAAATATATTTAATATAGTCAATAGTAGATATAGTTAATATATTAGATATGTCAAAATATGTAATAGAATAGATATTAAAGATGGTCACCGCAATTAAAAAAAATGGCACAATTGAGTTGCAACTTGTGGCGCAATTAAATTTCCTTATGGCGCAATTAAGTTGCAACTCAATTGAAATTTGAAAATAATTATAGGGACCATCTTTAATAGATATAAATACAAGCTCTTTTATCAGTTAGAAAAAAACAGACTGACGGCTGTATAGAAACCTTTCTTTTGTAAAAAATAGTACAATGTTACTCTTCACTTCATGTATCTTTATTCTCTTATTTTTATTTTCTTATTCTTTCTTATATTATTATCTTATTATTCCTTTTCTATTTCAATAAAGTATTTCTTATTTCTTACATAAAACACTTTGTGAATAACCATAACAATTCTTGACTTGTAATTAAAGCCGCTCGTATTTAATAAATTTAATTCAATTTGATAAAATTGGTAATAAAATAACTAAGATTTAGTGTGAAACTAATTAGAATTATACGTAGACTATAAAAAAGTTAACTTTCTAATATTACATCTAAAAGTTGTAACCTGAAAAGATTACACATTAACATTTGATGATGACAGGATCCTCTGCTCCTATTTACGTATTATAGCAAAACTGAAATAACTATTAATATATTCTCATAAATACATTTTATACATTTGATAATCTACTTAAGTATCAGAAATTTATTATCAGCTGCACACTAAAATCAATTGTAACATTAGGACTGTAAAGCCACTTACTGAAGATTCTTTCTATCTTACTTGTAATTCTAGTGTTGATTTCTCTGAACTTTCAGAAGTCTTTTAAACTTTTTTTAATTAGACCATTGACAACCTTGAAGTATAATAATATACAAATAAAAGTGTAATTGCATTTAAATAGGCAATTGCTGCATCATCTATTGACCTCTAATAAGTGTAATTTTGACAAGCTTTATGCTCTTTATATTATAATTGACTACCTTTTACTATATTAAATCAATCTATTAGATCTTATATTAAATATTTGAAGAAAATCATTATTAAAGAATTGCGCAAATGACAAATATGAGAACTGTTATCGCTACTCAGTCAAGCGTAAGTAAACAATCTTCTGCTAAAAAAGAGAGAAGAAGCTCTTAAAACTTTAAGGATACTTTAGATACTATCAACTGTGACTCAGATTCTAGACATAAATCTAATAGTAGAAGTAACAATTTCTCTCGTTTTAATAATACTGACAGCGTAAGATTAGGAAGTAGCTATGACTTTAGTAATGCAGTATTTAAAAATTAGGGCACTAGTTCTAAAAATAGAAAACTATATCAATTTTATCTTATTTTTGACTCTAAAAATAAAGATAATGATGATATTAAATCTCTTGATATGAAAGGTAAAAATAGACAAATGGATAATACTATGCAAACAAAAATAGGTGAGGAAAAAGTCATAGAAAAAGTCATTGTAGGCAATCATGCTGACTTTCTTACTATGATAGTTTCTCTTCTAGTTCAGAATCTAGTGATAGTTTTTCTGAAAGTAGAGATGAAATAGACCCAATGACAAAAATATTAATAATGCTAATTTACCTGATGAACTTCAACTCTTTCAAATGCTAAAGGGATTTCATGTTTAAAGGAGGCGACTAAGATCCTAGTGATTGGTTAGAATAATATAATTATGCTTATGAAGCTAATAGCATTTCTGACAAAAGAAGACTGATATTAGTACTATCCTTCATAAAAGGATTGGCTCTCACGTAATTTAACAAAACAAATTTGAAAAAGATTTACGCTATTAGAATAATAATAGTGATCGACATCATAAACATTGATCCTTTATCTATCATTTTCTCAAACATTATTACATCACTTATAGATGAACACAATAGCAATCTGCACTTTAAAAATGCAAATAAAAGCTTGGATAATTTATAAAGAAATATGTTGTAGAAGTAAAATCTTTATACTTAAAATTGGATACAAAATATAATACTCTAGAAGATGAAAAGATTGAACAATTCCCGCAAGACTTATAACTTGAATTTTATATTATGCTTGTAGTTGCTGCTTTATATGATTTAGAGAAAATAATTAATAAAGCTCGTTCAGTTAAAGCTGTATTATCTCATGATACTACCTTATCAGGTTATTCATTAAGCAAAGCCTACTTGAATCATAGTAAAGGATTAAAGGAAAAAGAATAACCTGCTAACATACAGACCTCTGCCAAAAGTCTCTGAACGTCATCTTTTGGCTATTTCATACCGAATACATCATATAACTGTATAATACTGCAGTCATATAATGTACTTGACCTTTGTTTGCTTGAATCAAAACTAAATAAAAGCGTGTTTGGTTTGTTTATTTTGATTTTTAACCAAAATAAAATTTACCTTCCGAAAATCACGAAAATGTTCAAAGAACAATGCGGCGGTATATATTTTGCCGTCAACGTGGCAATAGTTACTGGGCTATTACCGCAAATATCGGTTGTGGATTTTTAACAGCATTTAGAACTTTAAAAAGAATGAATGATACTGGAACCGTTAATTCAAGGCTTCGTTCTGGTTGACTATCCTTAATTAAAAATTCACAGCGAAGCTGGCTGAAGTGATTTGTCGCAGCAAATTCAGGCTGTGATGAAGCAAATAAAAGCCTGACCAAGTACTAATTATTTAGTACCAAATGTGTAGCATATCGTACATTAATAAATAAATTAATAAATTTTTTTAATAAACTTTAAAATTTTAAGTTTTACATTGAGCCAAAAAGCGTTCGAAGACTTTTAGTGAGGATCTGTATAACAACTCATTGACAAAAATAACAAAAAGTTAATTAAGGAGTTTAAACATCTATTATCTAATACTATTGCAGCTCCTAAATCTACCAATGATTGTACTAATAACAACTGAAAGAATCAATCACATAATAACACAACTGGAAGTAATAGATGAAACTGTTATAATTGTGAAAAGGTAGGACACCTGTCTAAAGATTATCAAATACTAAAGAAATAATTGTAATAATAGTAATAAGTGTCATAACTGCAAACAATTTAGAAATTTTACAAGGAACTGCACTACTTAATAAAAAACTTCTCATTCTCATTGTAAGTAATATGGAAATTGGGAAAATTTATGCCTAATTAAAAACAAATTTAGGACAAATAAAGACTAACATATTGCACTTTTATATCACATTTCAATAATACTTAATAATCAAAATATGTATACATCACCAATGGAAACTTTACTACCATAACCTATATACATGACCTCTATTCCTGTTTATTCACTACATCCTTATTTAAATTACTAATAGTATCTCCAGAGGGTGGATACACTGAAAAAAATCAAAACCTCTTAAAAGTGATTAAAGCTATTTATTGTTATGCTTATGTAGATAGAAAATTAATATATTTAATTTTAGATTCTGGATCAGCAAGAAGTGTAATGTTTAAATCTTTTTACAACAATTGGGACGAAAAATAAAAGATCCTTCTTAAATTATAATAATCAATATTCAAGACAGATATTCTTAACCATTAGAATAAGTGACAAATATACCAATTCAAATTGATAACATTAAAATTCTAATGAATGTTAATATCACTGAATTGAATGACTATTATATAGTGGTTAGTAATGATTAACTTACCAAGTGTTAAGCATAATTACATTGGGATAAAGGTGCTTTTATTTTCAAATGGAATAGAATCATATATCAAATTCCAAAGACTTATTAGGAAAAATCTGTATTTAATCAATTTTAACAACTAACATCAATAATAAATCCTACAAATGAAAAATATGAAGAAGAAATTTTAGTCTCACAATGACGTTATACAGTTTTAGGAGATAATATTAGACAACTAATCCTTGCTGAAACTAAACCTGATCAAATCTTAATTCAAGGGTAACAATACTCCCCTCAATATTATGAACATTTAAAGCAAAAGTTTGATATTCAAACTCCTACTAATAAAAAATGAAAATACTATTGGCAAGGGCTAAGAAATTGATGTTGATGTTATAATTGACTTAATAAGCCAACAGATATTTGCAAATTATGTCAAAAAGAGTGAAAACACTTGCAATTGCTCTCAAATATTCCTGAAGAAAAGCCAAAGATTTCTAGAATAACTGCATCTTTGGAAGAAAATAACAGCAACAGTTAATTACGTTCTTTAAGCAAAATGATAATTTATTTGCAAATGATTTATCTCAACTAAAACATACCAATGTCAAAACACATTATATACTATTAGAAATAGATATACCAATACGTCAAAGAGCATATCAAGTTACTCCTTTTGAATAAGATTTTATCAAAGAGGAAATTGATAAAATTCTGACAAATAAATTGATATAACCATCAGAAAGTCTTTGAGCTTCTTTTGTAGTTTTAGTCAGAAAGAAAAATAGCAAGTTAAGGTTCTGTATTAATTATCAGAAACTTAACAGTATAACTCAATGAGATTATTATCCTCTTCTATATATTGATAATTTTTTGGATATATTTGGCAAAGCTAAATATTTTACAATATTTGATCTAGCTAGTAAATACTGACAAGTTGCTATGATACCTAAAGATTAACAAAAGACTGCATTTATTATTAGTCATGAGCTCTATAAATTCACTGTTATACCTTTTGGCTTAACTAATATGTCAGCAACTTTTCAAAGGCTTATAAATAAAGTTTTTAGAGAAGAAATTGAAAAATATATAACTGTTTATTTGGATGATATTATTATCTTTTTGACAACTTTTAAAGAACATCTCGCTTATCTTAAAAATGTTTTACAATGACTAAGAAAAGCTGGATTGAAATTAGGACGAGATAAATGTGAGTTTGGAAAGCTTGAATTTGCTTTCTTAGAACACATCATAAATGGACAAAAAATTGCTTCAAACTCTTCAAAAATTGAAAAGATTAGGAACTTGTTAATATTTTCTAATATCACTGAATTTCATGGATTCTTAGGACTTACTTCATATTATCATTGATTTATATAAAACTTCTCAACTATTACTGCATCTTTACATTTCTTACTTAAAAAGAAAACACCGTATCAATAGACTAAAACTTAATAACAGGCATTCAAATATTTAAAGAAATGTTTATTTACAGCTTTTATTCTTATTTATCCTAACTTTTCTAAGAAGTTTCTGCTATTTACTGACAAATCATACATAGGACTAAGTGTTGTTTTAACTCAACTGAATGATCAGCAAAAAGAATATATAGTTACGTACATTAATCAAACTCTTAACAATGCTAAAAAAAATTATGCATCTACTGAACTTGAATATTTCACTATTTGGATCATAGAATATTTTAGAACTTATCTTTTACATTAACCTTTTGATCTAATTACTAACTATGCTATATTGCAATAGTTATTTAACAAATCTGATCTCTCACATAAATTTATGAGATAGATTATACAAATCATAAAATTTTCTTATAATATTTGCTATCATAAAGACAAAATACATCAAAATGCTGATACCCTTTTTAAACTGTTTTCCATTAATTCAAACATCAAATTATAATTAATTAAAGTGAAAGCGAAAGTATTAGCAGTATAACTAATAGCTCTAGTATTCAAAAATGGATATAGAATTATATTAAAACCTCTATCAATACTTAACTCAATCTAAATATCCTAAATCATCTACACCTGTATAATAACTTTTTATACAAAATAAGTAAAATACTATATTATTTATAATTATCTTCTTTACTGACAAAACTTTTGAAACCTCTCAAATCCTCTTCTTGTTATCAAATCAACTAAAGTTGAATCACTTTTACATAAAATTTATAATGAACCTCTAGAAGGATATCTAGGACATGACATAACCTTTAACAAATTAGTACACAAATATTATTGACTAAAAATATATGACATAATAAAGGAATGGGTGAAAATATGTAACGTGTGTCAGTAACAAAGAACACCCTACTGACAAGAGCCTTTACATCTAATTTCAGTAGGATAACTATTCGACTATATTAGAATTGATTATGTAGGATCACTACCACGAACAAAGCAAAGTAACAGATATATTATTATTACCATAGAATATCTCACTAAATAGGCTGAAGCTATTGCTGTATCTGATTATACTGCATAAACTATAACATAGTTTATTTTTCAAGAAATCATATGTAGACATGAGATTCTAAAGGAAATATTAACTGATAGAGCTACTTCATTTCAAAATGAGTTGATAACTACATTATTACATATTATTGAAATAAAACACTGACTTTTTTTATTATATCATTCACAGACAAATGGATTGACTAAATGTTTCAATCAGACCTTGTGTACTATTTTGGTTAAGTATGCTGAGTAACATCAAGGAGAATAGGATGTCTATCTTCCTCAGCTTTATTCACATTTCGCATAGCACAATAAAAAACAATTAAATATAGTCAACTTTTATTATAACGAATTCTATGTCTTAGACTTCAACTTCACTATAAGGCTATAGTGAAGATTTAAGAGATTTGATTGGCCAATTCGCTATAACAAGAGTATT